CCTAGCTTTGCCTTACCTAGTTTAGAGAGCCTAGAAGTGATGACATCCCAGAAGCAACAAGCACACCTGGTGTCCAGATCTTGGTTTCTAAAACCACTGTCCAATAAAAGAACTAGGTTACCTTGGAGAAATGTGGCTAATTCCAGGGCTGGAGCAGGGAAAATGCAAAATGAGGCTAGAGCATTTTATACTATCAGAAAGTACGGATGTCTTCAAAAAAGACATTGATGGAGGCGTGTCAAAGGGATTCAACAGGCAACGTGAAAGGGCTCCCAATGGCCAAAGCTAGAACAATAACAGCAACAAATTAAGTGCCACAGAACTGGATTACAATCCAATGTGTACAATAAATACACATTGGGGTCTATACTGACAAGAATGAGTGAAAAAAATGAATAGGCAAATAAACAAGAGCAAATCTGCCTATAGATGAATTCCAAATAATATATGCATCGACTGCTACCTGCAGGAGGTGGAACTAACTCCCACCCCCCACACCCCACACCAGCACAGAGAGCAGGCTGGGCTGATGGGTTCACTTCCAAAGAAGAGCATATGGAAAGGGGACAGTGAAGAAACCTGGAAAACACCACCTGAACCAAGTGGTCTAGGTTAACATGACCACCATTGTCACATGCAGGATGTAATGAGAAGGGGACTTCATCTCCATGGTATCTTTCCCAAAACTCATAATCCCAATACAATCATGAGAAAAATATCAGACAAATTCAAATGGAGGGACATTCTACAAAACACCTGGCAAGAATTCCTCAAAACTGTCAAGGTCATATAAGAGCAAAGGAAGACTGAGAAACTGTCACAAACCAGAGGAGGCTAAAGATACATGACAGATAAAACTGATGTGGTGTCCTGGGTTGGATCTTGGAACAGAAGAAAAGGACAGTAATGGGAAAATTGGTGAAATCTGAATGAAGTCTAGAGTTTGGTTAACAGTAATACAGCAACATTGACATCTTAGTACCATCTTTGTTGGACAGTACGTAGGAGGATACACAAGTGAGATGTTAGCAACAGGAAACAGACTGGGTGGGAGGCATGTGAGAACTATCTGACTACTTTGCCACTTTTCTGTAAATCTAAAATTATCCCAAAGTGAAAAGTTTATTTTTTGAAAAGAAATACAATTCACCAGATTAACACAGTAAAACAAAAACTATGTGACCATCTTAGCAGATGCAGAAGAAGCTTCTGACAAAATCTAGCATTCATTCATGATTATAAAAACCGCTTAGCAAAATAGGTAGAGAAGGGAACATCCTCAACCTAATAAGGAATATCTGTGAAAAACCAATGTTAACATCATACTTAAGGGTGAGTGGCTGCATTATTTACCCCTAAGCTTGGGAACAAGACAAGAATGCCCACTGTCCCCACCTCCACCTAACACTACACTGGAAGGTCTGGCCAGTGAAATAAAGAAACAAAAAAACAAAGGCACTTAGATTAGAAATAAATAAAACTGTCTTTATTTGCAGAAGACTCAACTGTCTATGTATTAACCAATGGAGACTACTAAAAGGCTACTAGAATTAATAAGTGAGTTTGGCAAGATTTCAGGATACATAATAAATACACAAAAATCAACTGTATTTCTATATATTAGCAATGAACAGTGAATATCCAACTATGAAATACTTAGGAATAATTCTGATGAAATATGTGAAAAACTTATACAATCAAAAGTATAAAACATTGCTGAGAAAAATTAAAGTCCTAAATAAATGGAGAGCTATACCGTGTGTTTGTGTTTCAGAAGACTCAATATTAAAAATATTAACAAGATGTCATGTCTTCCAAATTGATCTATAGATTCAACATAATCACAGCCAAATCCCCAGCAGGATTTTTAAATTAATTTTTTTTTTTTTTGTCTTTTGTCTTTTTCCGTGTCCGGCAACGGATCGCAACCCTCAGTGTTGCCCCTGTACCGGACTGGGGACCGGCAACGGGATTGCAACCCTCGGTGTTGCTCCCGCACCTCGCTCAGCCAGTGAGCGGGAACCGGTCTGTATGTGGGATCCGAACCCTCGGGCGGGAGCGCCGCCGCGCTTCCCAAGCGGTGCACTTATCCAGTGCGCCACCGGGCCGGCCCCTAAATTAATTTTTTTAATTGACAAGAAAAAATTGTTTATTTATGGTATACAACATGATGTTTTGTTATATGTGTATATTGTGCATTGGCTAAATCAAGCTATTTAACACACGCGTTACCTCACATACTCTTCATTGTTTGTGGTGAGAACACTTAAAATCTCTTGGTAATTTTCACATATACAATAAATACATTGTTGGTAAGTGCAGTCACCACGACATACAGTAGATCTCTTGGACTTATTCTTTCTGTCTGAAAGTCTGTGCTCTTTGGCTAATATCTCCCAGTCTCCCCAGCCCTAGCCTCTGGTGACCACTATTTTACTCTCTGTTTCTATGACTTAGACATTTTTACACTCCACATATTAAGTGAGATCATGCAGTATTTGTCTTTCTGTACCTGTCTTATTTCACTTAATATGATGTCTGCCAGTTTATCCGTGTTGTTGCAAATGACAGGTTTTACTTCTTTTTTATGGCCACATAATGCAGTTGTCCCTCAGTATCTGCAGGGGATTGGTCCAGGACCCCTTGTGGATGCCAAGCTCTGCAGATGCTCACGTTCCTTATGGCACAGTATTTACGTATAACCTACATATATCCTCCTGTGTACTTTAAATCATTTCTAGATTACTTACAATACCTAATACAATGTAAATGCTGTGTAAATAGTTGTTATACTGTATTTTTTAAATTTGTATTATTTTTTATTGTTGTTATTTTTTGTTGGGGTTTTTATTTTATTTTATTTTTTCCTGCAGCTGGTTGAATCAGCAAATGCAGAACCTGCAGATGCAGAGGGCCAGCTGTATTCCACTGTGTACGTACATTCATCCATTGAGAGACGTATCTTGGCTATTGTGAATAGTGCTGCAGTGAACATGGGAGTGCAGATGTCTCTCTGACGTACTGATTTCATATCCTCCAGATATATATAGTACTGAGATTGTTGGATCTCAGAATTTTTACTGTAGAAATCAACAAGTTGATGCTAGAATTCATGTGGAAATGCAGAGGACCTAGACTAGTCAAACAGCTTTGAAAAAGAATAAAATTAGACGATGTACACTATCTGATTTCGAGACATTGTAAACCTATAGATAGTAAGACAGTGTGGTATTGGGGTCAAGATAAACAAATACACCAAAGGAACAGAGAGTCCAAAAGCAGAACCACACATACATGAACACGAGCAACCGGTTTCCTTCAGAAGTACAAAGGCAATTCAGCAGAGAAAGAATCTCTTGAACATGTGGTGCTGGGAACAACTGGATATCCATATACCAAAAAAGTGAACTTCAATTCGTAGTTCATAGCAAATACAGAAACCAGCAGACGCCGCAGTGTGCTGCAGATGGGCTAAGTGGACCCAGCGGCTCGTCACCAGCAGCCCCCACGACTGAGCATCCACAGTGCATCAGCCCTGCTCCGAATGCTTCGTATCTGTCCTTATTTCGTGTTTATCACGCATAACCTCTCTCGTGCATCTTCCCAAAGGCACAGAGCTGATCATAGGGCAGGGGATTTGTCTGAACCTGGGCAGACCAGTGAATTCTGAAGGCTCAAGGCTGCTTTGTGAGCCCGTTCCCGGTGCCCCCGGCTTCCTCACCGGGGCCCCTCCCACCTGCCACCACTCCTCCTCTGCACACGGGACCGTCTTGCACTGGACACACAAGCCGTCTGGTGAGCAGACGTGCCAGCAGAGGCTTGTCGGGCAACTGCTCAGCCAGAAGGCAGGGGTTTTCTCTCTTTCTGGGACCTGCCACCTTTAATCCACAGGGATTAATCCTGCAGTTAAATTTGAATTATGCCCTGGCCAGAGTGGACAGTTGACCTGAACCCATCAGGATTTCTCTCCCAGGAACTTGCAGATGGACGTGAGTGGTTCTGGTTGAAGCTGCCTCTGGCCTGGGGGTGTGCAAGCCACTCTGAGAAAAATGCAGACCAGGGTCGTGCCTTGCCTGGGTTCCTCGGCTTTCCTGGTGTCTGCTTCTGGCCTCTCCTATGGGTTCTGTGTGACATCTTTGTATCCTTATCACTTAAATGACTCAAATTGCTTTCTGTTCCTTGCAATGGAAGATCTTAAAATAAATATCCCTAAATGGTAAGGAAGCCACCGAAACTCACTCAGGGAAATCCAAAGGGTACCCCCCATGGCCCTCTCGTACCCCATGGTAAGCTTTAGCAGATAGTACAATTTTTAATTTGCTGGAATCCAAGAAATAATAGGGCTTAACCACAGGCCAGTAATAAACTTGAACAGGCAATGTTCGGTCAGCCACAAGTAAGCCACAAACAAAACTGTTGGGCAATGGGCTTTTGTTTGGGCTTCCCAGTACCTTATGCCTGTTTGTGTCTGGGGAACCCAACCTTCCATGCAGAATCCTCTCTGTGGGTCTGTCTCTTGACACCACCAGGAGAACATCGTGGCCTCCTGATAGGAGACCTGACCCACACCCTGGTCCTCAGTCAGCTCATGCCCAGCAGCTGCTTTCCGGGGCCACCCCCATGACTTGCATATGCAGAGACAGCTCTTAACACCTGTCAGTTTCACCAAGTGTCACGTGAAGGCCAGACCCGGCCTACAGCCCCAGGTCACTTATTCCAGGGTTAAAAATCAAGATTTTAAGCAAACACAATTGACACTGATGTACAAGCAATTCGGCCTCATTGGAGGTTGGTGGAGGGAGGGTAGATTGTGTGGGGGAGGGCTTGGCTTGGGTTGGGACGGGCAGACAGGAACGAGTCCAGGAAGCACCTCTCATGTACACGCACATGTATATGTGTGTGTATATATATATATATATATATATATGTTTATTTATCGTTCCATCTTTCTTTTTTCTCAGGAGTGAGGGGTCACTGGGGCTGTTGACAGCAGGCTCAGGTCAGGAGGAGGGGACCAGTTGTGGGAGTTCTGTGTTCTCCGAGTCATAATAGGTCTTCGTGTAGGGATAGGTCTTCCCCTTCAAGGTCTCTATGAGCTGCTGTAAGCGCTTGGCAAAGGAAAGCGCCTGGGGAGGCTTCCCAGGGGAGGTGGGCGCGGGCAGCTGCGGGGGGCGCTGGGAGTACCAGGCAGGGCGAGCGGGGGGGGCGTGCAGGGAGGGCGGGCGCGGGAGGGGGGGCCGAGGGGGCGGGGGGGGGGCGGGGGGCGGGGGG